AAGGCATGTACGTCCTGCCGCAGGAAGAATCAGTAGGCTGTTATTGCTCCTTGCCCGTGTATATACAAGGCCATAATATGTAATATGTAAGCACATGATATTTCTTTTCCATGCTTCTGTCTCTAGAAGGGAGTACTTTGTCTATATAGACCAGGAGCTCCCAATCTATGGTACATCTATGGCGAGTGATACATTTGGTACATCTAGCATGAGTGCTATATTTCCAACGTTCCCGAGAAACACTTGTCTCACTGAATAACAATATAAATTCTGATAAGGCTACACCGATATCCTTATACATATTTATCTGTCCTCAGCAATTCTGCAACTTAGTTTCCACTTGTTTACTACTTTTCTTTTGCCACTTTTACTATTCTTCTTATGTAAACAATAATATATGATTATCTATTTTGATACTTTTACTCTTAGCATGATGATATCAGTAAACTTGACTTACTGAAAGACAAAGCTGGAGTTGTCTTTCGTTGGCTGGACATACTCTTACATTCTCCTCGCATAGAGTATCAAACTTATGTCAAGGTATGCAATACTAAAGGAACTTTAAATTATTGAAAATAGAAATTATTTCTCAAACGCTTACTTTTCTCTTTAAGGTTTTGCGAGACAGATTCACTCGTACCTTGATAATCTACAGCATTGACGAAGCAGGTGTGGTTGGCGAGGAACGAGCGAATGTTGTCCGCTGTCCATAAGGGCGCCCCCTTGGTGTCTCTGGCAGAGGCAGCGTGATGGAGGATGGTCCTTCCCTCGGCATCCCTTAGTGTGGCCGGAAGCTCGTTGCGCCTCAGCAAAGCATCCACTCCGAGCCGGTAGCTGCCGCTCTTTGCTGCCACCATTAACTCCTCCTCCCGCTGACGATACTCCTGAGGACGAAATCCAATTAATTTCACTGTGTAGGTTAAGTTATAAAAAAAAACACTACATGCTAGAGACAGGACAATACACACACTCGTTTTTTATCGTATCAACAGTTATTGCAATATTTATTTATTTATTGTTTCATCAGCATTCTTTAAGTATTTGTCTTACTCCCTATTACGTACATGACATTGTGATATTGATGGCTGAAATGGCCTCTGAACTTCAATTTTGCTTTCCTTTCTGTCTTATTACGTAAACTGGACATCCAAGAAGGAATCAACATTTTTTTCTGTGTTTACTCTTACAGAGGAGAATGTGACAAATTAAAAAAATATTCGCTTTGTATTCACTGAATATCTAAGGAGTTGTAATTAGAAACATGGCCTGGATGCAACCACTGCCACTGCCGAGTTACGTGGATATCCTTACACTCCACCGCCAAAGACACGGTACGATAAGTCTTCTAGTCCACCAGCTATTTCCTAAATGTCCATTGATATGGCCGCTCATTCACATCTCACTCTATCCTCTACACATCAGAATCTACATTGTAACAAAAGTTCCAGCTATACAGCACTTCCATTACATCGATCACCGGATGTTTAATCCAATTTCACCACATCTTAATCCACTCATTGCACTTCCTCACAGCCCACTAAATGTCTACTCCTCTTACAAAGGAATATGTTCTTTGTGAACACCTTGTCCCCATTATCATATTTGATTTAGTTATCACACATTGTTATATCCACATCTTGCATACATATTACATGTTCTCAAACAAGAAATTATTTTTTCCATTTTTCACTGCCCTTCTGCTCTTTGCACTCCATTCCTCATATATGGCCACACATTTAGCCATCTATGATTCTTCCTCCCAATTTCTTAAAGACAATTATTACTCCACCCAAGAACACATCATTTTCGGATATCGTCCTCATTCCCATCTGCTGATTAGTTTCATAATCGGTATATGTTCACTGATACTGTTTTTAAGGACTCCCCTGGGGATGTTGCCAGTGTTAGCGACACTGACTTGTGACGTATGGCTACAAGTGGCTCCCTTGTGTGCTCACAGTGACCCTGGAATACTCCCCGTGCCATGTGTTGTGGAACACACGTTGCGCATACAGTTATCCAGTGCAATGCGGTCAGTGGATATATATTAATGAATCGATTAGTCTCAAATTTCCTTCGCAAAGCCACCCATCTACATTCACGCTTTGCAGTCAACGCGTCAATGCATGTCTGTGTCTTGTTGACTGCGAATTGACGTTCATCATAACAGTCTCTTGTGATTATGTTACAGTGTTAAAGATAGCCTCTAAGCGCAGTGGAAATGAGTATGCTTTATGCATAATGAGTTGTGTTCAGTCTTTAATTTTCTTACCGGTAATGGACTTCAATTTTCCTTATAAACATTGTAAATAAATGCTCTTCAGGTAATTAGCAGCTTTCTTATGATTTCATTTCAATTAGTTTCGTATGTTTAGAAACGCATCATATCTGATGCCATCGGATACGCTAACTTCCCTTGCGCATTAAAAGAAACATGGATTTCCAGTCTGTTCCAAAATTCAGTGTAGTATCAGTGCCAAGGCAACCGTCGACGTCCAGCAAATCATCAAAGAAAATATTTCTATATGTCACATTTCATTTTCCCAAAGCCACGAGGTCGCATTCAGGAAGAAGCATCACCAATTCTAACAAACACTCACCTCGTAGCCACTGACCGCGGTCACATAGGAAAATGCAGTGTGCGCGTGCTTGCGTGCGTTTATACTATTCCTAATTAAGTAAAAATAACACTTACCTTCAGAACCTTTTTGATGACATCATTCTCTTTAAGCTGTGACTCCTCTTTCAGAATCGGGATGACGTTTGTTCGCCTCAGAAGATGTGCCTCGACCAGTGCGCTGTCAATGTTGTCTCTGTCAGAGAGGAGTGCCCGGACCCGCGGGATGTTGTCCTCTATCACCGCTGCCAACAGGAGGGACGGCTGTGTAGGAGAGGTACTGTTATAACCCTTCGTCCCTCTCATATCCTGTATTCTAATTGGCATTTGTAGCTGTTACAGAAGGACTGTTTTCTGCGATTAGTTAAAATGCCGACTTTCATGCTGGCGCTCAATATTCATGATATTCTTGTACATTGCTTTTATAATTCATCATCTTTTATTAAATAATTTCAGTGAATTCTCTCATATGGATAAAGATATTGTATATGTAAGTGTGTGTGTCCATACACACACACACACACACACACACACACACACACACACACACACACACATATACATATATATATATATATATATATATATATATAATATATAATATATATATGTATAATATATATATATATATATATATATATGTATGTATGTATATATACATATATGTAATAATATTATATATATATATATATAATATGTGTGTGTGTGTGTGTGTGTGTGTGTGTGTGTGTGTGTGTGTGTGTGTGTGTGTGTGTGTGTGTGTGTGTGTGTACTGTGTGTGTGTGTGTGTGTGTGTGTGTGTGTGTGTGTGGTGTGTGTGTGTGTGTGTGTGTGTGTGTGTGTGTTGTGTGTGTGGTGTGTATTATACACATAATCATGTACACATACATATGTGTGTGTGTGTGTTTGCGCGCGCGCACGCGCGTGCGTGTAAATATGTATATGCTTCTGTGTTTATGTTTATATGCATAGCATATACATGGGCGCTTACCTGTTCGCGTACAGATGGTTGTGTTCTATCGATGAGCGGTTCCTCTTCATCCGAATGGGTTGCTCTCGTTTTCTGTTGAAAGGAAAGAGGTGCTAAGAGTAAACAAAAGTATCTGAGAATGAAAAGAAGTATCTGAGATGGACCTGAAATGCACTGAACTTGGTCATTATCTACACATTCGGCCTAAGCCTGAAAAGTCGAACTTCAAGACAGAAAACCTTTAATGTCCAGATGTAGAAGAGGACACCAATCAGCCCCAAGACCGCGATCGCTAACAATAGCGACAGTGCCACCACAGCCCCGCCGTCGCCGTCTTCATCTGGAGGAAGAATGTGAATCTTTCATTATGCATACACACACACACACACAAACACACGCATATATATGCAAGTGTGTGTGTGTGTGTTCTTACCTTACCTAGTTGTTCTTACATAGTTGTTTCAGTACGGGAGAAGAGCTACTAAGCTCAATCGTATAACTTTGTAAATTGATGCACTTTTTGGTACCCACAACGTCATATCAAAGATCATTCTGTTATAATAGTTCTGTTTGGGAAACTGGACTTCTTGACGTTTTTCGCCTCTTTTTACTTTAAATTTTTTACTGCGTCCGATCACCTTTCTTGTGTTCAAATTATAGTTATCTTCACTCTTCCTGCAATATGGTTGAACAGCATAATTATGTCACCCCTTTTCCTTCTTTCTTCCAAGGTAGTATGTCCGATTTTCTGTGGTCTATTTTCGTAGCTCAGGTACGTGTGTGTGTGTGTGTGTACATGCATATATATGTGTGTGTGTGTGTGTGTGTGTGTACAGATACATACGTATATATGTATATGTATATATGCATGAATATAAATATTTGTATGTGTGTACAGATACATATATAAATACATATATATGTATATACATTTGCATGTGTGTGTGTGTGTGTGTGTGTGTGTGTGTGTGTGTGTGTGTGTGTGTGTAAAGCCATATAGCCTGAGTTGGCGATCACAGATTGTGCAGGTCCTGTGCCAGTCTCACGGTACCACCTTTGGTTCGACACGTGACTTCAATGTCCTTGCAAGCTATACCGACCGATCAGGTACTCCTAGTAAGTCCCCAAGTCCTGGATTTTGGTCTTGGTTCAAGGGACCTCTATATCCACGGGCTTCACTTCATTATTTAATGCATCTAGAAGTACCACTAGGGTTTGCAAGGAATCAGAATAGCACCATCATCTGCAAAGTCAAGATCAGTAACCTTGATATTGCCCAGAGTTGCTCCACTTTGGATAGTATCTCTGTCCAGTATCCAATCTATGCAAGTGTTGAAAAGTGTTGGTGCAAGGACACAGCCTTGCCTCACTCCTGAACTAACAGGAAAGAAGCTCGACAAGCCCCAAGCACTC